TTCTCCACTTAATATGTCAACTACTTGAAATCATTCAAATACACACATTTCCCACTTCTTGAAAACATGGAACAACTCTCATCAAATTACATCATTCAAATTCTTTATTAATTCCAACAATAATTTAGTTTTACATACTGAAAATTAAATAGGGGTAAACTAGGAAAAATGTTGACAAAAATTAATTTTTCAATGACATTAAAGAAATTTTCTTAATCCGTGTGAAAAACGAAACAAGCCCATATTATACGAAACAATCCGTGTATTATGATTTTGCCTCTAGTTCTTTAATTTGCAGATTAATTCTATGTGATCATTCCAAATATATACGTTTAAGATATGTCGCAGGGAAATATTTTGATTTTCTTTTTATAATTAATATACAAATATTTTCTACAAACTTTTTTGATAGCGATTCAAACCTTTAAAATTTGGGTAGTCAACATGAAAAGGGCAAAAAATAAAATAAAATAATAATAAATGGACCAACTCTGTTGACGGCCGACTCGAGCCGGCATTCAACAGTCAACATTCTGCCTCCATCTCTTAATTATTCAACCCCACGCGGATATTAGGTACTCCTACTTGTACTATTGAACTTTTTTAAACTTCCCACTTTACTTTTTTGAAAATTGCGTTATAATCCATCTGACTTTTTGAATTATATATATTTATAAAAGTAATGCTATTTAAAATTGTTCATTATGATAGTCGTCTTATATGATATACGTATAGTGTTTAGTTATTTGATGAATTATTGTGATAGCTTTTTATTATTTAATATATTAAATCATTAAACGTCACATGTATGTCACGTATAACGATTACGATAGTGAGTAACTGCAAATAATATTATTCATTTATTCATGATTTCAGTTTAGCTTTAAATTTCATCATTCTGTCGATTTTCATTAAACGCATTGTTCTTCAAATTAATAAAATTACTTGATTGAATAACTGATCTTTCACGTAGGGCCTGTTTTAGCCCTATTTTTTGTCCATAAATGTATTTTGACGGAGAATGTATGGTTAAAAAATAATAAAAAAAATAAAAAAAAAAATATATATAATTTTCATTAATCTTCTATTCCAAAATGAATTCTTACAATAAAATGAGACTGTAATATAAACAAGTGTTGTGACAATGTCTTTAGATTAAAATGTGTGATTTCAACACTTTTATAACATGGCGTAACAGTAAGTTATGATGTCATGTAATAATGAAAATTTATTCTACCATTATTATCAATTTTGTTAATTTGAAAAAGATACATTACGGATTTGTGAAATTTAAAACGTATTGAAGTAAATTAAATTTTCAAACTACATTTCGGTAGGGGTGTTAAGCAGGGACGAGCCTCATAAGCGAGCCGGATGAGGATTTGACCATGCGAGCCTCTCGTCAACTTGTGTATGGACCGATTCACAATACTGAGAAAAATATATTAATATAAGTAAAAGAAGTGAAAAAATATGGTAGGTGGCTAGTAGCTCGCGAACTAGCTTGACGCACCCCACTAAGGGGAGAGCTCGTGGGGCGAGTTGATATGCACTTTTGTTAAGTCGGCTCGTGCTCAATTCTCTGTACAAAGCAAATGCAAGTTGAATTGATCTTGTGGTAGGTAATTTGAAAGATTCGATTATTACCTTAAGGTAATGATTTGAGAAATTTGATTTAGCGCTTGATTCATCGTATTTAACATTTATAAGGTGACGGAAGGAGATGAATGTCAAATTATATTCCCTAGGATTCCAACTTGTTACATGATCGAAGTGTTTTAAAAAAAAAAAAAAGCAAAAAAGTCAAATTTTATCTCTTCAATTAACCCCAACACACCCCCACCCCCCCCCGGCGTCTTACATCACCTGTACACAGACAACACAACCATACTTGCCGGACTTTTTCTATTGTCAGCACCAACTTTTCAACTCCCGAATCAACGCTTATTCGTTTTGCACCATGTACGAATCCTTTGATAGCAAAGACTATGAGATGAAGCCCATAGAGATACGGGCAGTTGAAGCCTTAGGCCTTGGTTTCGATTTGGCCAGCGATTTTCGGCTCAAGTTCGTAAAAAGGTGCCCCGATGGCGGCAGATTGGTGAATTTAGATGAGAGGAATAAGAAGGATGTGGTGATTCCAGGACTCGGGGGCGTGGTGATTCCAGACGTACCCGATTGCATTCGGGTCGATAAAGGGGACCACATTCGGTTTAAGTCCGATGTTCTTCAATTTAATCAGGTCCCTTGTTTATAATTTTCCATTTTTTTCTGTTTCATTTACATGTATTGCATTTTGGTGTGAATTTATGTATATGGATATTGTGTAATTGTGCTGATTATGAGTTTTCGAGCTAAAAATAAATATTTGGTGCGATGTATTATAGATATATAATAGTTTTGATTATGATTTTTGGAGCTAAAAATGTAATCTTAAAGCATAATATGATTGGTGAGGTGTTAGATGCTAAAGATTGAGGAATAGCTTTTAATCAATTTGAAGTGCGTGCAATAATATGAGTTGTAATCTTACTTCTGTTGGAGCAAGATACAACTTTGGAAGCACGAGACATCTCTATATTTAGGTAATTTAGTTTTTGAAGGAGAGACATAATAATTATTCCTCTATTATGTGCATATGTATAATGATGTTGATTTTAAATTTTGTAGCTAAAATTATAGTGCTAAAGCATAAGATGATGGCTATGGCACCAATTTGTTTATGATACTTGTACTTGCATTTGCATTTGTGATAGAGCATGGGAGAAGTTGTGAAAGCATGAAATGGCATATGATTTTTTGTTTATTGGTGCTTAAATGGTTGTTAAATAGATCTTAAGTGTGATGCTGATCCTACATTATATAGACGCTGGCACGAATATTCCTATCTCTTCCTTAAACTCAATTTATTGTCATCTCCTGGATTTTCGGACCATGAAAAGCTAATGAGACCATCTACTAATGACTAATAATTCATGTTTTCTGTTGCTTTTCCCTTCATATACAAAATAAACAATGAAAATTGTGGACATATACTTAATGATTGCGCCTTCATAAGAAAGTAGTGCTTTCTGCGGATGTCAAGTCCTTTTGTATCTTAACTTTTAATATTTCTCTGGTAGTTAGATAATATAATGTGAAACTCAGGATTATAATATAACATGAAAAACTCAGGATTTAGGATTAAGATTCTAACTTCAAATGGGAACATGAATGGAAAACTTCATGCAAAAGGGTTCCGTTAGAGGGAACATGAATGGAACACTTCATGCAAATGGGTTCTCTTCAGGAAAAAGTGAAGAACCTCACCTTTTGTTTTTAGATGAAGTCACTAAGTTGCTATACCTTTGAAAAAAATACTGTTGACCGACCGGTGAAAAATAACTGAACTTTTTAGCTGTGTTGCACGGGCACTTCAACTAGGGTGGCATGTCTGTGTCCCCATAGTCCTCGGACACTATACCATTTTGCTTTATTTGGCTCTTAACTCAAAGTTATTATAATATAACAAATAGGCACTATTATTTAAAAGATTTTAATAAGAAAAATTAATAATGTGTGAAACTAAAGTATATAATATATACATAAAGAATTTAATCAACGTGTCGGATTTGAAAAATTGCATGTCCGACACGCGTCGGTGCATCATAGCTTTTTAGGATACCTTTCTTCTTAGTTTGAATTAAATTTATTGATGGAAGTTTAGTAGTGTAGTAACACAATGTACACTGTAATATCGTCAAATGAAGGACAACCTCCAAAATGGTGTTCTATGTTCATCTTTTTACATGTCTTTTAGCTCACTCAACAGTTGTCATGTAAAATTCTGCAATCTTTTAACTCTTCATTGCTAATCTGTTATCAATTGCTTATGGCAGATGTCAGAGCTACTTAATCAAAAATCATCAGTACAGGGAAAGATTCCTTCAGGATACCTTAATTCTACTTTTGATTTAACTGGAGCCTGGTTGAATGATGCCGCAGACGCCAAGTATCTAGCCTTCGATGGTTATTTCATTTCACTTTACTATTTGCACCTTACTGCATCAAGTTTAGTACTTCATGACCATGTAAAGAAGGCTGTTCCTTCCCACTGGAATCCAGCATCTTTGTCTAGGTAACGTTCGAACTTGACAGTATTTATTTGATGAACTTCAGAGCTTAGGATTACATGAGTCTAATATGAAGAGCAAAAAATAAAATGAAAATACATATAAACATGATGATCAAAAGCGATAAACACATCCAATAACACAGTCAGTGAGTTTTGGCAAATAATGTCGTTAAATTTTCTAAACCTATTACAGTAATGGAAATAAAACTAAAGATTGTATCCTCTTATAAAATACCTTTTTCTTTTCTTTCCTTTTTCTTTCCCGGATTGTGGTGGGTGGGTGTTTTGAGTAGTTTGTACAAATGTTATTTTCTATTATCATGGTGAACTTATGTACAGCATATGCTGTTAGATAATTGCAATTTGTTTATAAATGTGCTAAACATTCTAACAGGTTAAGAGTTCTTAATATTGTGCATTCTCATAGAACGTGCAGTAGATGCTGTTGCATTACCTATTCGAAGTATAATTTTCTTTAAAAAAATTGACTTTTGAACTTCTCTATATCTATGTATTATAAGCTTCAACTTTCTTTGCAAATTGGTCTTGTTTAAATGTTTATTTTCATATTTTCTTGTTGCTATGTTTATTTATATCTCTTCTTGATGCCCTGTGTTCTTTTTGTGTCCATAAGACTCCTTGCCTTGTTCATGTTTAGATCAAACACACTATATGCTTAATGCTTATACCCATAGTATATTAGAAATAGTGTAGTCTTTTGTGCACTTTTGCTACGTCAAAATTGCCTTCCTGATTACTGGATGCAACCAGGTGTATGTTTGCTTCAGTTATGTGTGACCTTCATAATTTCTTACACCAGTTGTGCTATAAACTTTCAATATTGATTTTACTGTACTAATTCATTTTTCTTAGCCAGATTTATCCAGACTTATGGAACGCACATTATCGTTGGAATGGCTGTTGGAGGACAGGATTTACTTTGTGTTAAACAGAGACCGACTTCTCCAATTCCTCCAGCTGAACTCAAGGGATACTTGGAGGATCTTGGAGACTGTCTTTTCTCTGATACCAACAGTCCTATTCTGGACAGGAAAGCGGCCGATAACCAAAAAAAGGTATATAGTCACAGATATATGCATGCGGTTGTGTCCTAGCATGTGCGTATATCTTGTTGTTTCTCTTTAGGCTGTAACTTCACAACAATTAATGTAATTAATTTGATTATGTAGGTTCCCGAGGTATTTAACCGTATGTTACAGGCACATACCATGCAATTTACCAGCGTTACTGAAACATCGAGCAAGGATGTAAGATATCTCATTCTACATGATTTCTTAGGATACCTATGAAAGTAGACTTATGATATAATATGTAACAGGGACTTACACTTATTTGGTCCAAAAGAGGAGGTGATGTGTTTGCACAAAGTCACTCCAGGTGGCTTCAGACGATGGCTGCTAATCCAGAAGCTGTGCTCTTTAAATTTGTACCTATTACTTCTCTGCTTAATGGGATTCCAGGGAGTGGCTATCTTAGTCACGCAATAAACTTGTATCTTCGATGTATGATTCTGGATCCATTATTATGACTAATACTGTATTTTCTTCTGGGTGGTCCGTCTTGTCCCTTTTCTTAATTTTCAAGCAGTAGCTGCATGGTGTACTTGTATTAGCTATCATTTCTCATTTAATTTCATTTTGGAAAATAATATTTTGTTTCAAATGTCAGACAAGCCAGCTTTAGAAGATCTGCAGTATTTTTTGGAGTTTCAAGTTCCTAGTCAGTGGGCACCTCTGTTCTGCGAGTTACCTCTTAGACATCAAAGAAGGAAGGCTTCTTTTCCTTCACTGCAGTTCAGTTTCTTAGGTCCAAAGATTTATGTCAACTCCACCCAGGTAATTGCAATTTCACCAAGTAAAAATGCAGAAATGAAAATTTTGAACAGAATCGTGTTTTCTTGATTGGTTATTAGTTAAAGGCGCGTGATTGTAGCTTCAAATAGCAAATTAACTTCATTGTGTAACATATGGATAACTCCTCAGTCTTAATTTTGTCCCCTTTGATTAGCTAACAATTTTGATAAACGCCAAAATCATAATCTTAATAGGTTTTATTAGTTTTGATGCTTTTGTTGTAATATTTGATAGATTCTTCTGTGCCTTTTCAGTGTGTGTAACTTGTATTTCAACACTCAATTTTGGAGAATAATTGACTTGCACAAAATTTAATGGCTAAATAATTAGTGCTGAGATTAGTAAACGATGGAAGTCAGAGCAGGGGATATTCTAAGCTTGTCTACTTCGGAGTGTAGATTGCTGATAGAAATTGTTCAAGCTAGAAACATGCAAAATTTTAGATATCCATTTATTCTTCAACAAAAGAAATAGAAAAATGCATGGTTTTCTATACCTGACTGTTGAATAGTATTCTCATAATTTAACATGGCTGAACTGACTTCAAGTTGGCTGCTATTTTCTCGCTCTTTGTGCTGTGGAATCCAATTGTGTTGGACTGGAGATGGTAAAATTCCAAGGACATAAACGCTAAAAAAATGATATGGACTGTTTACATAAACCATCCAGATGGGTTGTTAGGAATTTGCACTATTTTCAGTTCATTTGCCATTTTATGGCGTTTTACTTGTACTCGCCAGCCTTATCTTATAGAAATAATTAATAAGGCTATTGGAAAAAGTTTGCAGATATTCAATATTCCAATCATTAGAAGCTCCATTTGAATTTTGTAGATTACACTCAACATACATGGCTTTATTTTGTCTACGTCATATTTCCTTTCGACAGTGATTACTTCCCCATGCTCTGCAACATAATTCATGGTTCTGCTTCTTTTTGCTCTTGCTCGACTTGATCTGATTTTCAAATCATAGTTTTCAGAGAACCATCAACAAAAACGATTTAATAAAATTGCCTTATCTTATTCCTTGAGTCGAAGATATGAACTTTATTGGCCTTATTTTGTAGCGCTTGCACTAAACTTTCTCCTGTTATTTTCCCTATAGAGAATTGCTGTTGAATTTGTTTTCTTTAATCACTAATTTTGTGATTGCACATATTGATCAAACTTTTTCATTTTGATTCGGTTTTAGGTTACAAGTGATGGAAAACCCATTATTGGCCTCCGCTTGTATTTGGAAGGAAAGAAAAGCAACAGGTTGGCAGTTCACGTACAGCATCTTTCAAGTCTTCCAAACATAATGGTGTTCACCTCAGGTAATGGAAGCATTTGCAAACCTCAGTGGCGAGGTTCCGATGATTACGAATTTAGCAAAGAGTACTTAGAACCAGTCCGATGGAAGAGATATTCAAATGTATGCTCATCGGTAGTAAAGCACGATCCCAGCTGGGTAGTAGGTGAATCCTCCGGTGTTTTTGTTGTGAGCGGTGCACAGCTAGTTACCAAGGGTAAATGGCCAAGAAAAGTTCTTCACCTCCGCTTGCTTTATACCCACCTACCTAACTGCAGGATTCGAAAGACAGAGTGGGCATCAGCGCCTGAAGCTTCTCGGAAGTCAAGTTTCCTCACGAATTTGAGCACGACTTTCACATTCACCCAACGGGCAGTTACGGAC